TTGTGCACGGCAAATCAGATTAGGGCGAGTCAGAGCTTTACTTTTTTTTTTTTTTCAGCCCCCTCCGCCCTCCTGCCTCCACCTCACTTAAATTTACTACCAGTGCTGCTGCTGCTGCTCATTGGTCTCATAATAATGCGCTCTACTGCTGCGCTGAGTTATCATCTCAGGCTTTTGTCTTCTTTGATCAGTGTGACCGTTGGGGGGGGACCCACTTCTTCTTTTGTACAGGGTCACATCGCTGGCTCCTTTTGGACGGGCCTGCCCCCGGGTGGTGACCCCTTCGTTCATCATGGTGTCACCCACACAGAGGACGAGCATGAGTTAGAGCTTTCTCCCTCTCTCTCTTTTCTCCTCGCCTTCCCGCTCAATCCTCCACTCCGATGTGACCATCCTTTTCCTTCTCGTCCATCCGTACGAGTTGACCCCGAGGCGAGCTGGGGGTCAAACGCTTTTATCACACCGAGCAAAAGGAGGAAGTGCTATTTGGATGGAAACGCAGCGTTCACTCTCTGAATCGACTTCTGCAACCTTCAGTCACCAGCGAGCACACCAAGCCAAGTGTGTGTGTGTGAGTGAATGTGTGAACTTACCAAAGAGAACAGTGGAGGTCCGGAGCTGATTGTCCAAACGCAATTCTTGCCTCTGCCTTTGTGAAACCAGGAGTTGTGGATGGACATCACGCCCCTGACCTCTAAAAATCAGCGATGGACTGACCACTCTGCACCTTGGTGCATGGAGGAGCGAGAGACCCTGAAAAAGACAAACATGGAGAGGGAAAGAGAGAGGGGGATATTAAAGACAGAGTGTGTGTTTATGTAAATGTAAAGCCTGCTGGAGTCTCTCTTGACTTTTTGTCGAGGTTAGCTCAACTTTTTTCCCTCAAACAAAATCAGAGACGTTTCAAGTTTTTCCTGTAAAGATTTGGAAAATCACAGCAAGGTGTCAAACTTCAGGTGTGCAGTGAATCAGTCATGGCATAGAAGGCCGGTACATCATTAAGAGTTTAAGTGACAGCAGCAAATAAGAAGGAGGAGGAATTCAGTTATTTAAATGGAACATTTTAAATACAGTATTTTACAATAACATCATTTTTTCTTAACCCAAAATGTATTTTACTAAATGATGTGTTAGAACTTTTAGGAAGAAAAAATATGATCATCAATGCTGATTATGTTTGACTTTTTTTGCACCTTTCTCCTGCACAGGTGCAAAGTCTCACGCTCACACAAGACCATGCAGGCTCTGCAGATCAGGGGCGTCCCGTTGTGGAGGAGGGGGTTAGAGCCCGTCTGTGGAGCAGAAAGAGATGAATGGCTCTCACCACGTTAAGTACAGTTGAATGTGTCCGGTTCGCACTTCAGAACCAGCGTCTAGAGCGGGGTCTCAGCCTCAATCTGTGCTGGAAGGGGTGAGAGTGACAGAAAGGGAGAGTGAATGAGAGGAGGGAGGTGTGTGTGTGTGTGTGTGTGTGTGTGTGTTTGCTCCTCTGAATTTTTTCCCTGTGTTTGACAAAGTTCAGGGGGCCAGACTTGGAGAAAGAAAAGGGAAAATGAGAGAAAGTGAAGGATTTGAATGAGGCGCTGGGAGAGGGAGTGAGACGGAGAAGGTGAAGATCTGACAGAGGGGGGGGGGGGGGGGGGGGGGAGGAGGAGGAGGATATCCAAGCACCTCGAAGTAGTCCGCTGCTTCTTCACAGCAAGAGCAGCGTAAATTGGTGATATTTATAGACGGAAGCTGCAGGAAGCAACAACGTGATCTGGGAAATACGTAAAGAGAAAGAGGGAGAGAGAGAGGGGGGGTAGGGGGGGGGGAGAGAGATCAAGAGAGGGGCTGCATTAATATGCTAATGACCTGAGTGAATGCACAACAGGCCCACTGACCAGGCTAATCACTGGTGGACACACACCGAGGCTAATCCCTCACGCAGCACTCACACACACGCAGAGTCAGACACACGCAGGCACACATGCAAAGCAGGTTCAACATGTGTGGACGCTTTCATGTTCTGCATGGTTTATGTTTACCAGCACAGGACTTAGACTGAAGAGGAGGCTGAAATGTTGACTTTGAGCTTCAGTTTTTTTTAGCTGTTTATGTTCTTATTGTTTGATTTTGGTAAGTATTGATTTTTCTTTTTTTTCAATATCGACCTGAACTTTTGTAAAATGCAGAAATGCAAAGACAACACGAGGTGTAATTATTGTAAATCTCTAGTTATATTACTTTACTTTCTTCCTATCATCATTATTAATATTGCCCCTGTTATCTTCTTTAAATCAGGGTTTATATTAATTTTCTATTACCGTCTATCTGGTTTTTTTTGCATGCCTTTTTGAGCTCTTATAACAGGTGGGCGATCAATTCAGATTATCGTGTCATAATTTAACTTAAGCATCTTACCTTACCATATCTTATCCTATCCTCTCTTATCATATCGTATCGTATTATATCTTAAAATGTTGTCTGCAGGTCATAAATAAATAAATAACTTAGATGATTGTCGTGCAGTGGCATCACCAGAGAAGAAACAAACTCCTCTCCACTGTCTTATATAAAAACTGACTAAAGCTGATTTGTAACACTTTCTAAGATATTAATCTACGTTCAACATTTTCAATCACTTCGGTAAAGAAAAAGGGAAAAGGGAACACACAGGTGAAGTTTTATACTGATGCTTAATAGGTCATGATTTATTGACTCAAATACAGAACAACAGAGCCATATGTTTATATCCAAAACAAATGTGCATCTATAAAAATCGACACTCTACAGAGAAGAAATAGAGGAAATGAAAATGAAATCCTGACGTGTTTACTAAAGTTTGCATGTCTCTTGTTGGTATTAATGTTTGTACTGAATGTCTTCACGTCTACATTGTTGATATTTGAACTATTAAAAAGATGAAAAAATAAACTTTCTAATCCACTTTTTCTGTTTTTTCCTTTGATTCTATCTTGGGCAATTGATTAGTGAAACACCTGAATCCATGCTGTGTCATAACCCTCTGTGTTGGGTGGGGGAGGGGGGGGGTATGGGGTGCAGATGTTTGACACGCTGTGGGTGGAGGGGCAGTAAGTGGGTGCACTTTATATCAAGAGCAGCACTGAAAGGAGGGTTGGGTCAAATACTCAGGTCATGTGACTTCACGCCAACATTCAAATAGAAACAAATCATTTGTATCAAAATCCAAAATGGCGGTGACAAAGACACTGACCATGAACTGTTATTTTTTCACGTTTGGTTTTAGTTGGGGGGGGGGGGATATGTTTTTAAAAACTATTTATAAGAAAGTTCTTGTTGCAAAATGATGAATTGTATTTTCACAACTTTGATTATCATGTGTTGAATTTGCAAAACATCATGAAAGATGCCAATAATTGTTTATAAAATGTTTTTACAGTTGGTATCTTTTAAAAGAAGGAGGGGCCAACAATTGGTCCCCAACCTGGGGTCCGGGGCCCCCTGGTGGGGGCGCCAAAGATTTCAGACGGGGCACAAGGCTTTGTCTGCTCTGAAGAACACAAAATGAGATTTGCACTTATTAACTGAAGTCCTGATAAAACACAAACTGTAGGAGCTGGGGATCGATCCCTGACTTTCCAGTTGAGAGACGACCGACTCTACAAACTGAGCGGCTGCTGCTCAAGTGGTAGATTTGGTAGTCTTCTAACTGGATGGTCGGGGGTTCGATCCCCAGCTCCTTCAACCACATGTCCGATGTGTCCTTTGGCAAGACACATTGCTCCTGCAGCCACACAATATTATGTGATACAATTTTGTACACATGTTGTTTTTCTGTGTTCTTTGTTCATCTTTTATGATTTGTATAGTTGTTATTACCGTTATGGTGACATCGCTCTGTGAAAGATGCGCTACCAAATAAATGTATTATTAGATAAGAGATAAGATAAGATAAGGTAATCCTTTATTTATCCCACAACGGGGAAATTTACAGTGTTACAGCAGCAAAGAGCAAAGATTGCAAACAAAAAGTGAACATAGTACAATTTAATTATAAAAATAAAAATTAAGAATGTACAAAAAAATAGAAAATAGATTTAAAAAGAATAATAATAATAATAATAATTAAAAAAAAAATTATTATATAATGCAGCTGCACATCAGTATTTTATATAATTGCACTATAGAACATCTAACCAATAAATCAAATTCTAAATCCCATGTGTTACTTTGTTTGGTGTCATTGCCTATGAGAAGAAATAATCTCCTACCTTTAGAAGTTCTTCTTCTAGAAATCAGAAATGTCTGCCGCTCCTTCCACCTCAGACATATCTGCATTATTGATCTGAAAGAGAGATACTTTATTGATCCTGAGGGAAATTCAAAGCATCCAGCAGCAGGTTACAAAGACATGACATGAAACATTTGTTACAAATTAAACCACAAAACCGACGCCCCCCCCCTCCCATACATATATAATAACCTGAAAAAAGATTTAAAGAATACCTCTAGATGAGTCAAACTTAAACTGTGCAATTAAAAATAGACTTACAAGAAATGTACATAACCCGTGCAGAGATAAAAATATATGTGACATTTAAACAAGAACCTAAAAACAGTTGAAGAAAAAAAACCTGTAATTATTAGACCTGAATATAAAAAATAAAAGTGTTGACCATCTGAAGTTGTTTTGTTTATATATGCACAGCAAAAAGCAGAAGCTGAGGAGATCAGTGTGTCTGCAGTCTAACCGACAGTAACCTCTCACTGACACACTGAGCTGAACTCGTCTTGACCTCTTGACCTCCTGCACTGGATGTGTCTGCCTCACTCACCTGAGGCTCAACCTGAACACACACACACACACACACACACACACACACACACACACACACACACACCTTCTCCTGCACTCATTATGAGCCCAGTGTTCAGATGTAACAGAGTACTAAGCCAAATCCTCCATCATCATGTTTTCATCCTTGCAGGGGGAGGGAGGGCTGACTACGAGACACACACACACACACACACACACACACACACACACACACACACACACACACACACACACACACACGGGGCCTAGTCGCCACATCTTTCATGTGAGGAAGCTGTGCCGCTAAACCGTCAGTAACTCTTCTTTATCATCATCTAAATCTAAACTTAAAACGTCCAGTTAGTTCATGAATACGACAATCAGACAGATGTGGAGCCGCGTGAGCCAAACAGATGTTCAACCTCTCATGCTACGCGTTTAGCCTAACTAGCTCGCATGCTAGGCTAGGCTAGGTGGCTACATGTGTTTAGCTGCAGCCTGTTTAAACGACCAGACTCCGATTATATCAGGATTTTAATGAAGGGGGGGTCATTCTAATTAATTTCGCTGTTTAAAACATCAATAATCTAGAAAGGAAATTTACTTAGCCACCTAGCCAGGTCTGAAAGGTTAGCTCGTTTAGAAGCTAACTGTGGCTAACTGTTAGCTTCTCTGAACGGTGGGTTGTTGCCATCAGGCTGCATGTAAATACACTAGTGGGTCATTTTATACACTGTGTAGGACATAAAGAATATAATCAGTGTTTTGCATTAATAAACAGCTTTTTAATTGTGCAGTAAATTGTTGTTTTTAACGCGTAATGCTTTAGGACAGACAGTGAGCAGCTGATGTGTCAAATGTCAAAAAAAACGCATCAAATCCATTTAAATTAAACAGACAGCTCATGTTTTTGTTAACAGGAGGGTGTCATTTTGTTGTCGTGTCATCTTTTATCTAATGCAAAGTTCATGTGTTGGAATTTCAGACCCGTTTTTGGGCTCCCAAAACAGCTCCGGCCCGGGCCTCAGTCCGCGGTCTAGAGTTTGACAGCGGGCCGCTTGAGAGTGACGCACGTCGGCTTGTAACTGCCAGCCTGCGCCCCCCTCCAAACCACCATCATGGAAGACAGCAGAGGTGAGGAGATAAGTGCTCTGATGTTGTGAACAGAAATTAAACAACATGAAGGAAATTATCCCCACATACAAGTTCACTTCATTATCCAGTCAGTATTATAGTTTCAGCTGATAACATGTTTATTATTGATTACACAGCTCTCTGTATCAACACTACAATTCACTTAGCAGACTCTTTTATCCAAAGCGACGTACATCAGAGAGTAAGAACAACACAAGCAAGGATCTAGAAAAAAGGGAACAATGTCAGTAAGAGCAAACAATCAGCTTTGAGTCTGATTGGACACACAGGTGCTGACAGGAAGTGACCAGAGGCAAAGCACAACATTGAGGGCAGTTCTTGAGAGCTCTAATCAGTATAGAAACCATCTTATAAGTCGTCGTTATCAAACAAAAACCATCGTCATTACCATCATCATCAATAATATGGAGACCATCATCATTAAGTTAGTAGGTATTCATGAAAGAGCTGGGTCTTTAGCTTTTTCTTAAAGGTGCAGAGGGACTCTGCAGATCACATGGAGTTTGGAAGTTCATTCCACCACCGGGGGGCGACAGAGGAGAAGAGTCTAGTTAAAGACTTAGGACCCTGTTGTGAAGGTTGGATCAGACACCTTTCATTGGCAGAGTGTAGTGGGGGGGGGAGTGTAGACCTGGATCAGAGAGTTAAAGTAAGGAGACGTTTCTGTGTCTGTTTTGTAAGCGAGCAGCAGAGTTTTAAATTTGATGCGAGCAGTAACTGGGAGCCAGTGTGAGGAGATGAACAGCGAACATGTGCTCTTTTAGGAAGGTTGAAGTCAGTCCTGCTGCTGCATTTTGTATCATTTGCACATTTACAACTGTCATCACTGTTTTTGCTCATTTACAAATCTTACCTCCAGCAGAGTATGTTTACATTCAGTCAGACAGGACTGACAACATTTTGTATTTAATTTGTCATATTTTAGACAAGAAGTAATGCTAAGTTAAAGACTGGATGTATATCTTCTTTTTCTTATTTGTATATTTTTAGTGCTATTTACTTTGTATTTATTAGTGTATTGTTTTATTTGCTTTGTTAACCTTCTGCTGTAACGCCACAATTTCCCAGTTTGGGATCAATAAAGTCGATCGATCGATCTATCTAGGGATCCACTGTAAATAAGCAATGAATGAATCTATCTATCTTTCTATGTCGAGCAAAGGTTGCATTTGGAAACTGATGTTGATTTGAGCAACAAATACAAAAAATATCATGTTTACATAAATCAGAATCAGCTTTATTGGCCCGGTATGATGAAACATACAAGATTTACTGGATTTATTTTGGGCTTTTTATGTCTTTAGTGTAGAGACAGTGAATAGAGTCAGGTACAGAGTGAGTGGGGAATGACACACCCCACCCTAAAGGAGGCCCTATGGGGTTAACAGCTTCCCACAACTAGACCCAATAAATCACACAAGACTCCTGAACAAAGTTTAAATGATGTGATTTTAATAAGACTCAAAGAACTACATGATTAAACAAAGACCAACTCAAAAACAACAAACAATCCTTGACTGAGAGGCATCACGCAGCAGTCCCCTCTCCAGAAGCCTCTCTGCTCCTGAACCTGGCACAGCTCACTGAGGCCAGGTGCACCATGTGGAGCCATCAGAAGCTTCACCTGGACAGAGAAGGGACAAACAGGGAAACATAAAGCCGTAACAATAGTCTCTATCAGCATGTGTTCAGGTTACTTTCATCGTACTGGTTGGTAGATTTGTTTTAAAGCCAGCGAGATGAAGACTTCCGTTAAGAAACACAAAAACAATGTAACATGAAATGACACATTAGAGAGAACGAGAAATAAAGAGGACTATACATTTAAAATAATCCTGAAAATGATAAAAGTGCTCAAAGTTCCTCCTAACAGGGAATATAAGAGAGGGGGGGGGGGTAAATTTAGGACCTTAACAACTGACACTTGACACTCATTTTTTCTATATATTCACATCGGACATGTGGCTGCAGGAGCTGGGGATCGAACCCCTGACCTTCCAGCTAGGAGACGACCAACTCCACTGATCCACAGCTGCCCCTTATTATTACTCACATTACATGTGAGAGGTGGAGTTGTGTAAGATACTGATGTCGTCTGTTGAGGAAAAAAAACACCTTAAAATAAAAGGATGTGAAGAATAAATGTCCTCATGTTTAGAATCAAGGTTTCCTTCATTTGATGATCTGATTAGTCTTTAAATGTTCACATGGTCTCCGTAGGCCTCTGGAGCTGTTGTGTGTGAGTCTGTGCTCGGTTGATTTTATTTTCCAGTGAGTTGAAGCAAGAAAAAATAGATTAGCTCGGATGACAACAAAGCTCACAGCCTGAAGCAGAGAAAATGCAGCCGACTGCAGACTGAAGAATAGGAAGGAAGTGGGCGTGATTCTTCCTTAAACTGAGTACTGATGGACGAGTCTATTGGCTTCACATCAGCTGTTACCTGTGATAATGACAGAGGTAATGTTCAGTGTGCAGGTTGTTGGAATCTGGACAGGAAGAGCAGGACCCTGAAGGAGTTATAACAACCCGCTCACTTTACTAATGTTGCTCATTACAAAGATACAAACTTAGAAAATCAATCGTCTGTTCACAACTGCTGCTAAAGCTGCGTCCATGGAGACGATTAACTCTGCAGCCTCTTTGAAAGGAGCTGAACTAGCTTTCATTACTCACGTTAAACTGAACATTTGCACTGATGGTGAAGTGAGACGATGTGAACAGATCGTCATGAACCGGTCAGCACCTGATTGAGTGTTTCTGCATCGTCATGTTGGAGTCTGTTGACGTTCTCTTTTCCATTCAGCAGTCTTTAAACATCTCATACCACCTTCTGTCATGTGCCATTCTCAGTCTGTCTGAGCGTTCAGTTTTTGTGTCTTTAACCTCTTCTCTCTGTTGTTATTGTCTCCTTTCTCTCTTTTTTTTTACCACAGTAAACCGATCAAATTTGATATTTTCATCCAGATTGATATGTTAACAGTCTGCAGAGTTTGTGGTTACCGTCTGCTTTTCTTAGTTATTAGATCATTTCTTGGCCAATTAGAATCAAGTATTTAACACAGCAATGTAGTTACTTTTGATAATTCAATCAGGATATTTGTGTTTGCAAACTCTCAGATTCTCGCAGCCCCGACAGCTCCTCTGTGTCGTCCCCGCCGTCGGGCCAACGCTCGCCCCCCCTGGCGTCCTCAGCCGCAGCTTCCATGACCTCCCTGCCTCCCATCAGCACCTCAGGAGTCAACAGTCCCATCAGCAGCATCGGCTCCCCCTTCTCTGTCATCAGCTCCTCGCTGGGCTCGCCATGCTTACCTGGCACGCCATCAGTGGGGTACGGCCCGATCAGCAGCCCGCAGGTGAGGAACCACTGTTGTGCTTCAGGGATTTCTTCAAGGTTTCTTTTTACCACCTCTGAGGCAGCTTTGATAACTTCTACAATCGTGCTTCAGCACGGTACAGGACAACTGGGCGTAGTGTGAGTGCTCCCTTAAAGAAATGTTGTCATGCCCTTCTCTTCTGTGCTTCTTTCAGATTAACTCCACAGTGTCCATGTCGGGGCTCCACGCTGTGAGCAGCTCTGACGATGTGAAACCTCCGCTGGGCCTGAAGCAGCTGTCGGCCCACAGTCCAGGGCCGATGCTCTCTCAGAAACGCCTTTGTGCCATCTGTGGAGACCGATCCTCTGGTGACTACACACACTCAATACGATCGCTTTTCTCTTCATGTGCACTCCTGAACATCTCCAGAACATTTCAGGCAGACTCTATCTGTATGTCAATGCTACGTTCACAAACACATTCACAAAAACAGTGATGAAGAACGAAGTGGTGAATACTACTGTTGTCGTGCGCCGGTCGCAGGATATAAACATCATCACTCCCTTTCACTCCCCCATCTTGACTTTTCATGAACATTTCTTGCTGCGGTCTCAGATCTGTTCACCCTGACTTCACGTTGAAAGTTACTTGGGGCCTGGCGGAGAAAACTCTGGATAGAGTCTGAAAATTTCAGGAAGTTTTGTGAAAGTGTGACTTACTTGCTTTTGATTTTGAGAACCTCTACATTTTCAGCCTAAAACAGAATGATCTTCCTCTCTTGTCTTAGATCATTTTTTTTTTTTTTTATTTTTTTTCCTCCTCATAGTCCACTGCACAGCTCCTACATTGCACCTTTTGTACATTTTGTACATTTTGTGTTTTTTATTTTTTATATTTAACATTTTTAAATTCTATTTTATATATTGTAATATCTTCTTATTCTGTATTATTGAAGTTGTTTCTAGTTCTGCTTTATTTCCTTGTTAATTGTTTAGCACCAATACACCAAGTCAAATTCCTTGTATGTGTAAATGTAGTTGGCAATAAACCCAGATTCTGATTCTGATTCTGATTCTGATCCTGATCTGCTCTTTCCCCTTCTTCTCACACCTTCCAGGTAAGCACTACGGCGTCTACAGCTGCGAGGGCTGCAAAGGCTTCTTCAAGCGGACAGTACGCAAAGACCTGACCTACACGTGTCGGGACAATAAAGACTGCATGGTGGATAAGAGGCAGAGGAACCGCTGCCAGTACTGCCGCTACCAGAAGTGCCTGGCCATGGGCATGAAGAGAGAAGGTGAGCAAGGAGGAGGCGCACCTCAGCACAGCTTGTAGCCGGCTGCTTCTCAGCCCCTTCTGCACACGACCCCCCAAAAAAATAACAGTAACAGGCAGTTTCCACAGGATCCGTGTGCGCTGAGGTCTGTCCGCGCGGCGCCCTCAGGAGCTGATCACGCCCTCTGTTGTCGACGCTCGTGTTTCCACTACCAGGCTGTGGTCGGTCTCCGGCGCGTTTATGCTGCAGCACTCCACTACGAGTATACCCCAAGTCTCTCTTCGACAGAGCTGCAAGCATGCGTCTAGCTGAACAGAGCAGATTGACCCAGACAGGAAGTCAGACAAGGGAACGCACAGAGCATCCAGGAAATTTCAAAATAAAACAGAATATGCAGACTTCCTGATCGTATATTCCTTCACTTTATCAACATGACATCAAAACAGGCACCAAGTTAAAAACAAATCATCCTCAGAAATACAAAGGAACCTGGTGTTTACACTTTGTTCTCTTTATTCCCGCGTGATCTTGTAGTTCTCCTGTGATCGTAGGGAATGCGAGAGTTTAGTTTAATTGTTTATTTGAATCAGGGACAGTGTACAAAAAAAACCATTAGTCTCAGAAGAGATGCTTTGTACCAGATTTAGCGAGCTAGCTAATTTCCATCTGTTGTCCCTGGGCAGATGATGGCAACAGCAAAATACAAATCAAGAGAAGAAAGACATAGAACAATTTACAGATATTAAAACATTATGTACAAGTTTCCCTGAGAGATCTAAAAGGTTGTCGAGATGACACATTAATGCTGACAAGACTGGTTCCTTAAAATCCATTTTTTGACTTCCCGGGTGAAAGTGCAGAAGTTTGTGCAAAGTTTGTGCATAGGTTTTAAAAGAAAAACCAGATTGTGCGAAAGCGGAGCCATGTTTAGGAATACTGCAATCTCCGTTAGAGGCAGACCCTGAAGATCTGCTTATCAGCTCAGAGAGAAGTTTCACAGCTGCTTATGGCTGCTCTCCGCTGTGCTTTCACTTACAAACAGACCCAGTGAGGTAGGGCGCACGCCGCGGAGACGGAATCCTGCGCACACGCGTCCTGTGGAAACTGTCAGAGAAACCTTTTCACACACAATTTGAGCTTTGAATGCACAAACAAGAATGTCATTATTTTGAAGTATTTGGCGGACAGAAAGCTGCAGCATAAAAATAAAAAAAGACTTTTGATTTAGACTTGAAGCAATTTAGTTTCCTCTCCCAAAGCTTTCAACATGATCACCTTAAAGTTAGGGAACAAAACAAAAAGCACCTTTAGGCTCCTTCTCTTGCTGCAGTCATCAGTGAGGATATGATTGAACTTAGTATTTACTTTCTCTCACAGTGGTGTATTGTGTTTGAGCCCACTGACCTATGACCTTTAAACAGATGACACCTCTTTAAGAGTCCTCTGAATGAAACACGCTGTACATACATGTTGCTCACAGTGTTTTGTAGATCAGACTCCAGTCACTTGTGATTAACTTAATAATGATTCCTATCACATTTAGTGATTTCACTGTGACTGCTCAGTCTCAGAAATCTTCATTATGTCACAATGATTCAGTAGAATCACAAACAGTGGGAAACTCTGAGGAGCTTTAACACTATCTTCAGACACACTTCTTGTTTACTAATAGTCGAGAGGTGTTTAGTTCTTAATGTGGTAATGAGAAACTGGTAAATAAAGCCTATGAAGCACAACTTCAAGCAGATTTTACATGTACCATCAAACTTTAAAATGACTACCCTTGTCAAAGAATTTCCTGAGTGTACGTCTGCATAAGTTCATAATATATCATTGTTACACGATGGCAGTGGTTCCCAACCTTTTTCCTTCTTCTGACTAAAGCTGGCTACACACTAGACTATTTTAATATCTTAACAGATTTCTTTTTAAAATTCCTTCAGACATGAGGACAATTTTGAACATTATAATCCTCCAAACTCCAACACTAGACGATCTCAAACGTAACTCCAGAAGAAAAACAAATTCAGACAACGATGAATGTCGTCAGCTGGCCGTTCTGTTGTCAGTTCTGTTGTGCAGGAAAAAACAATGTGGGTGAAATCCTGACTGAGCAGAAAGTAAAGATGCTACTTTATACAATTTGCAGCACGAGCTGGAGGCGAGTTATTAATGTACGCAACATCCCGTTGATCGGAGGCGGTTGATCTGGAGTCATAAAAACCGACATGTTTGTTATTTACAGGATTTATCTGGAGCAGTCAAATTATCATATTGACACCACACACTGAAGGATTAATTAATTAAACCAATAATCGGTTGTGACTCGCCCCCAATCATTTGTGGGGGGGCGGGGAATCTGGCCCAAAATCGTCTAATGCGTAGCCAGCTTAAAGAAAGCAGCGCCCCACCACCCAGGACCCCCCCACACACAAAGAAGGTGATACATCGCTGTCAAAAATTAGACTCAATTTCAGTTGATTTTAGTTTTATGTACAGAAATTTGAATAATTACCCAATAAGTTTGTTATCATTATTTGAGTCAATTCTGGAACAAATTAATGTCACCAACTCCTGAGCAGGCCGAGCCTCGCGCCCCATCTCAGGGCCAGGACCCCAGGTTGGGAACCAATGCATTAGTGACAGTAATTGAGTAGATTAAGTTTTATGTTAAAATCCAAGTTCTTCATATTCAAGAGGAAACAGACATTTACCAACTACCTCCCCTTTATAAGAAGCAGCTTATGTCTTATTTTAGATCAATTTCAAGCTTCTCTTGCATGCAGGTGATAATCCTCATTATAGTTTAAGAGTTGAGTTCTCTTGCACATAAAGATTCTGCTTTTATCATATTTGGTTCCCGCCTCTTTCATGATTGACAGGATGTTTAGATGGTCACTGTTGTTACTTCACTGATCACTGCAGCGATAGATAAATGAATGTTACACAGATGAAAGAGCCATCAAAGATTCTTCCAAAGCACCTCAATGAGATACAGAATCATTATGTCCAGTAGCTGCAGCAGCGTGTTGTAGGGTCAGAGATGATAGAGGACAGAAAGAACGAGAACAGAGTGGTGGAGAGGGAGATGGGGGTGGGTTCAGCCTTGTAAACACTAACCCCCTTTCCCCTCTCTTCCTCTTTTTTGTTTCCTCTCGTTCTCTCTCTCCCCCCTCCCTCCCTCTGTAGTGGCCGAGATGAACGTCAGATGTAAGGAGAAGAGGGAGGGAGGGGTGTGTGCGTCTGTGCCTGTTTGAGTGAGCGAGCATTGCATATCTAAAGAGAAGGAGCTTGTTTAAAGCGTTTTTCCACAGCTTGTTGCCAGCGCTCAGAGGTCGAATCAGTGCCAGACTTGAAGCAACTTCTCATTTTTGTATAGTGTTCATATATCCAAAGAAAGCCTGCTGGATATGCACACTTCTCCTTAAATGATCGCAAAGTCCGTTCACAGTGAGCCACAGACCAGTTCTTCTCCTGTTCAGTCGTTTCCATGTGTGAGGAACTTTGATGTAAAGTAGTTTTTCTCACAGATTCTTCAAGTTACACTTAGCCTCCTAACTGGTCACTTTTTGTAGAACACTTAGACAGCATGTGGCCACTATACAACTTCTTCATGAGACACATTGACCAATGATGTCATCGATTAGATTTAAAGCACGTTTTGGTTTATAAAGAAGTCGATGCTACTGTAAGATTTAAGTTTGAGGAAACCTCTAATCTTTGCTTTGACACTTAAATTAACAGTGTTCAGCTGATCATCAAATAGAAGACAACATGAGTCTCTCCAACCTGTAAAAGCCCGTCTAATATTCCCTCTAGTCTGGCTTCTTTCCTCCGTCACTCTCGCATTTTCTCTCTTGAGTTTTGTCCATCACCGTCCCCGTCACTGTCACCGTCCTCTTTTTTCGTGCATACACACACTCACACAATAAAAAAAAGAGATACAAACAAGAGGGGAACTGTGGTACGATACAGAAGATTCCTCGTCCTCTTAGCCTCAGACGTTGAATCAAACAGCACAGAGACGAGTGAACTGGCTGCTTTATATCTGAAGGCTGCTGTGTGAGTTAGTGCCGCTAAGCCACACACACTGAACCGCGAGATAACCGCGTCCTGCTGCCATGGTAACATAGTTAAAGTGCTTTTAGATGGACTTTGAAACGATTATTTAAGATGAAAAAGAGTCTTTACAATAAAACAATAAAAGGTAAAGATCTCCTTCCTTTGTTACATGTAGGTGTGGGGATCTAATCCGGTTCCATAAGGATTTACTTCTACTCTTCAAAACCGGAAAGTCAAAAACATTTAAGCTATCGATACAGTCATCGAGTCGTGTAGCGTAACGTTTTAACTCAAACTGTTACACAAACACATCGAAGTGTCTGAGCAAGTTTTTGCCGTCCAACAGTCTGGTTTGTACTTAAATGAAATCCTGTCCTGAGAGTCACTGATTCAGTTATTTATATCTTTATATCTGCTTTAGGTAGTGAGCCTGAAATGAATGAAAGACGTATGAAAGAATTTGACTTGATGATGGATTGTACATGTCTGTGCCTCTTTCCCTTCTCACTGGCCGTCCTGTGTTTCTCATATTCATTGAGTCTTACTACTTCTCCCTTTTCTTTTTTGCTTCTTTCCGTCTGTATGACAACCCGCTTGACATCCGATCCGTCTACCCTAACTCCTCTTCATTTCCCAAATATGATCTGACAAAAACTTCTCTCATTTGATCCATTCTTTCTGCACTAACACCTCTCCTCTCATCCCTCTGTTGTTTCACTTCTGTCTTTGTCTGTGCTTTACTAAATGTTTCTGTTTTCTGCCTGCCTGCCGCTCCAAACTCTTCGATTCTCTAACCTGCTTCTTCTCCTGCTCTCACACATCTCCTCCTCCTTTTCCCTTTCACATTGTCCTTCACTCACCCATCCTCCCCACCTACATGATCTCCTCTCTTCTCTTCCCTCTCTCCATCCCTTCCTTCCCTCTTTCTTGTCCTTCATTGTTTTCTTCTGTGCTCCCTTCTGTCCATCCCGACCCCTTGTCCTGCAGCCGTTCAAGAAGAGAGACAGAGGAACAGGGAGCGGGACGGCGAGGTGGAGTCGACTAGCAGTGTGGTGAACGAGGAGATGCCGGTGGAGAAGATTTTAGAGGCGGAGGTGGCTGTGGAGCAGAAGACGGAGCTTCATGCTGACGGCAGTTCAGGCGGCAGCTCTGTGAGTAGGCCGCATGTTGATTTGTATAATATTGTGTTATTATTGTATTAATTATTATTACCTGAGGAGCAAATATTGAACATATGGGATCATTACAAGCTGATAAATGATCTGTATTCAAATGTTTAATTGAGCTTCTATTTGTTTGATGACTGCAGGGTGAGCTAGCTTTGTTCCCTGGCTGTTTGTGTGACACCTTTTAGAGTCTTAAATAATTACTAATAATCCTCTAAATCTCTTTTCTCCAGCCCAATGACCCGGTCACCAACATCTGTCAGGCAGCAGACAAGCAGCTCTTCACCCTGGTGGAGTGGGCAAAGAGGATTCCTCACTTCTCAGAGCTGCCTCTGGATGACCAGGTCATCCTGCTACGTGCAGGTAAACTCTCAGTTATGATTTATTCAAACACAACAAAACCTGCATGTGTCAATGCAGATTTGACAAATTGTTCCCTATGGTCATGAGTGAGCAGGTGAGGTCGATGATGTATTTTCATTGGCGCAACCCGCATACTCATCAGCTCTGCTGCTTATCCCACAAGTGCATGTCCATTAGAAATGTTGAACCTTTGAAAAGGGAACTAAAAAGGCTTTCCATTGGTATTAGATTTATTGCCAAGAAGCGTTGTTACAACAGAGAAATAATCTACCAAACACAAATGTCCTTACTTTTTGTGCGATGTTTATATCATGGGAACGGTGTGATCTTTGTGCTCATGATAAAACAGCTTCTACTTTTTACTACCCCCAAGTATTGTTCTTTTCTACTCCCGCCTATTGTGCATTTATATAAAGGACTCTTCTTTGTCCACCATCTTGGATATCTTGTTATATTACATTTTTGTGCTATGTCCTGCCTCCTGAGACCCCCTGTCCTGACATTTTCTGTTAGAAAAGGAGTGCATGTTTATAAACGCAGCTTTAGATATGAGAAAGTTTAATGCGTGATGCTTTCCATTGTGTTCAGCAGAGTCCAGTCCTCGAGCTCTCCTAGCCTGGGGTCAAGTTGATAGTTATGAAGCATCCGACCTGCAGAGTGGTTCTGCCCACCTCCCCTGCTCTCTTGTTGTCTTTTCAAACCAGTGCTCCTCAAGCTTTATTTACTTTACAGTATACACCTGCTTTCTTTAAAACGCTCGGTTATGACACCAGCCTGATTTACCAGACGTAATGACACTCTTTACTCTTCAACAGGCTGGAATGAACTCCTGATTGCATCGTTCTCTCATCGCTCCATCTCGGTGAAGGACGGGATTTTACTGGCCACCGGCCTGCACGTCCACAGGAACAGCGCTCACAGTGCAGGTGTTGGAGCCATCTTTGACAGGTAATACACAGGTGCATTTAAACCACAGTATCCCCCCCCCATACATTTAGAAGACAAACTGGGGATGACCCACTGTAGTAAGAAATTCTCTGATCTGTGGAGAGTTTTAGTAATAAGGGGGCACGGGGCTTTTTCAGAAACCTTTCAGATTTAATCTTGTAGTCCTTTATGAGAATCCGCTTCCTCCCAGTATTAGGACAACATACTCTTAGCCTAAAATATACAGACCTTAAACACTAGCTTCAAATCCACCATCCCCTCCTAAATTCACCTGTTCAATCCACCTTAGTCCTAAGACAATCTTAAGAAAGAAGGAATATTGTCCTCTCTTTATCCTCGTGGATTTCTTAATCTGATGGTTTTCTAGTCACTGTTTTTATGTGAAGGGAACACATCTTGTGCAGGTTAGGTCTGATCAGTGACTTGGGGAAGAATTTAGGATTCTGCATCTCCATCTTTAATCTGGCTACAGCTGCTGTGTTCTGTGTTGGCTGTGATTGGCTGAGAGACTTTGCTTCTGTAGCGCTGCCTGTAGGGTGACAGCGCATGCTGCGGAGGCTGGTGACTAATGCTTACCCATAGACATGCATGCTCACACCGACACACACACTCAGAAGCGTAGCACATACTGCAGCTTTGATAACAACAGTGGCTGGCTAGTGAACTATACTAACTAATAAAGCAGGGCCGTCACAACACCAGAGTTTTAAACTTAAATATCAAAACCTGTGTCCAAGGCGCCCATTTTGACTGATTTTATTTATTATTGCAACAGAAAAGTAAAGTTATATAAATATAGAAGTGCGTTGTGTGTTTTCTGAGTTACTTTATGATTTGTGTACTCTGTTAGTTTCAGGCTCATTTACATTTTATTAGAGGTGCACCGATCGTCCAGCTGTTGACCGAACTCTGCCGATCTTAAATTTAAAACACACGAGCTGAAAGTTTCACATCACACACAAAGTGACACAAACGCTAACGCGACAGCCACACTCACTCAAGCCAACAAGTCAGAAGCGTGGACGTGAGGCTCCAATCAGCTGAAGCAAACAGACATTGACCAACAAGGCTGCACAGTGGTGGTGCACTGGTTGCCTCACAGCAAAGAAGGTAACTGGTTCCACTCCCCGTGTGGGCTCCCTCCATGTTTTCTGGCTTCCTCCCAACAGTCCCATCACATGCTCGTCAGGTTACTTAATGACTCTAACTCACCATCATTCACATTATCTCTCTGTGTTTGTCAGCCTTGTGATTGACTGGAGGTGAGTCCAGGATGTACCCCACCTCTCGCTTAATGACAGCTGGGATCAGCTCCAGAGATAGGATGGAGACAAAGAGCTTTTCCCATCCTCGCTCCTCTTGCCCGATGCTGCCTCCCCCCTGCTCACAAGAGCTGGGAGAGCCTGTAATGATCTATTATCAGGGTGGGAAACTCAGCGTGTGATTAAAAAGTTTGACCTTCTGTGGGACGTGTCAGTTTGCAGGAATATAATAGATCAAAGCATATTGATAAATAAGGGATATAAAACAGATGAACATTATTTGTACTAATACAGATCACCCAGGCAGCGAGCGAGAGAGAGCCAGACGGTGAAAGACTAAAGCAGTGGTTCTCAACTGGTCCAGCCTCAGGACCCACCACCACCTCCTTAGTGAGATAAGGCGACCCAAATTTCTGATTGACAGATAAAGACGGCTGCCATTTGTCCCTTTGGTGGCTCTGAAACGTCTGAGGACACTGAACCTGATGTTAGCTTGAATGCTAAACGCTAAAGCCAGCTCTTCATAAAGCTAAAATGTGAAATGCTGATTTCCTTTCTTGTGTTGAAGTGAATTCTGCGTGCATGTTTCCCGCCTTGCAGTTGTTTTAGAATAAGTGAGTGTTGACTTCTCAGCTTCATCTCTAATTTCTTGTGGAGCATTTAAAAAATCCTAAAAAGCTCAACAAAGCTGCATGAAGGCTGTGCTGCCACCTAGGGCTTTGGTGGTGTAATTGCCACATGGACATAAGCGCACAAAATGCTCACAACAGTGAAGGCCTCAAAAGTTGGTTAATGCGTTGAATCCGGCTTCATGCTGTGCTGGTTTATGTCATTATGGGATGTCATGCTTATTTATAAATGATCACTGCTTTAATGTAGTTTCAACTCTAAACAAAATACACATTTAAGTAAAACCCCAACTGCTTCACAACATGTCAATGCAAACTGTTAATTACACAGTGATTACATTGTTATAAAGGGTTAATTTGCTGCTAAATGTCGTCAGGGTAACGGCACGCTAACTGGGCTCCATGATTTCTTTCTGATCCTTTTAATTGTCTCATCATGGCTCTGCTCTCCTCTAGCAGCAGGCTTTGTTTCAGCTTCGCATCAGCAACTGAATCAAATCTTTTCAAGGAGGTTGTAATAACAAAAATATCATTAATGTCACGCATCAGTGAGGGAGACTTTTTTTTACTTTGGACCTGAAGTGCAAAAGTCTGAAACCTTTAATAAAACTATGAAACAAAGCAACAAAGACGACATCTTCTGCAGGAAAACACAACAACATATCGGAGGAATTAAACCTTTAAATAAGCAAAATAGAAAACATAAACTTAGTATATTACAAACTGTAAAGGATGTGCACTTAGCAGGTAGGTGTGTTTTTAAGTGTGACAACCTATGAGAGGTGTTCTCTGTAAAAGCTGAGCACGCCTTGTCCCTTTTTTACTTAATTATTAATGTGAGAGACAAAGAAACCATCCAGTCAGTGTTAATAATGTTAAAGAGTTTTAGTTTTGTTTTCTTAAATGTTTTAATTTGCACTTTGAGAGTTTATTTGTCACACATTAGGCACAGTTTAAAGTCCAGCTGAAATCATGTGACGTCTTTAATGTTCTTAATCGTGTTGTTAATAAAGAGAACGAGAAAAAGGAAACACTGCGTCTTTGGTCGACTGAAGGGGCGTGTCTTACCGGACTGTGACAGACTTTATCTGACTGCCAAAGTGTTGATGAGGGAAAAAAAATGTAAAAAAAAAGACAGAGCGCTGGCAACGGAGCCGGACACACCACAGAAACTAGGGCGACGACCACTCACCAACGGTCCAACTAGGACGACGGCTGTTATTTCTGCTTGAAAAAGTGCAGTCAACTTTTAAAGAAGATCAAGAGCATGAGGAATATAGGAACATTTGTTTCTGTTGGTCTCAGCTCTGGGCAGCCTGAACCTCCGACCAGACGGGAGAAGAACCAAATCCTCAGTCTGACCGTCTTAAAATAAAATGTTAATCTTTTTCTTTCAAAGTACATTTCAGTTGGACTTTAAAATTACTTTCATGAACGTCTTTTAAAATGAGAGAGAGAGAATAGTTTCCACGTTCTGAACAGTTCCATGTGCGCTAGTTCTTTTCAGCTATGCATATGCTTGATATAATTTATCACAACCTCCTTCCTACTTTCTTTAAAACATGTGGAAATGCTGATCGCCAGAAAACGGATCAAATCTTTATCAGAAGTGTCAGAGTGTTCGGATCCAGATTCAAAACAAAGAAAACTTTAAATCCCGACACAAACATTATGGATGATCCAGTACAAAATATTTAAGCAGAGTTGTGAACCCCTCAGAGTTTCACCGTGTGGAATGATTGATGCAACCCGTGTCTGTGCAGCTGAAGGGCTCAGACACTATTCTGTAATAACAATGTGACTGTGTAATGACATTGTAATAACACGTTGTGATTGAATACACAGGGCGCACAATGCCGAGGTTGGGGCCATATTTGACAGGTAACTACTCCACTACTCAAACACCTTTCTGAAACCCCTCCTCTTCAGTCAACACTGACACCAACACAGAACCACAGCTTCAGATCACTGCTTTCACTGCGTTTTGACTAAGTTTCCCCGACCAATCGCCTTGCAGAACACTTTGATCACTGCCCATTAACGATGCCTCTCAAATGCTCATTCAGCCTTTCCAAATCGAAATGTGTGGGTCGGCTTTGTGACGCCATCTTTCCCAGAGAATTAACGGTGGTGTTGTGGTGGTATGACGATGTTCAGGACACAGTCAGGTTACTTTTGATGTGAGATGCCGTGGTTTACCCGTCAGTCTTTTGGAGTAGTTGTTTCCTGTTTTATCTCATTTATCACAAACACTCTGATTCAACCCAAGAATAGCTCCTCCTCTTTCTCATCTTAATATGACCTAAACATTTATTCATTGTGCTTTACGTGTACGACTTTGATCAGGCTCTACCCGGGGCTTGAGCAGAGTCTTTCACAATCGGTCCACATCATTAAATATTAAGTTTATATTTATTTGATAGAGGAGGGACACTTGCTCAAATGCCACAACAGATTGTAATTGATCACAACGTTTCCAGAGTCCTAAACTTATTCCTGGAAGTTTGAGAACCACGCGCCAATAAGTACACAGCCAGAACATAGCAGCGTTTGGTAGCAGCTGTTTGCTCCCCAGCACAGTTTTTAACTTGTGTTTTTTCCCCTGCAGAACCAGAAGTTCAGCCAAGCACTCACATTGAGAAGTTACCTTTATTTACAATGTGATGATGGAGTCTGGTCCCTCTGTGTTGTTCTTAATCCTTTATTCCCTTCATTTCTTCCTCTTGCTTTTATCACTTTCCTGCTCTCTTTTTTCTTTTCTCTTTGTGGTTTCCTTCCTGCAAACCTCATCCTCTCCTCTCCTCTCCTCTCCCTCCTCTCCTCTCCTCTCCTCTCCTCTCTCTCTCCTCTCCTCTCCTCTCCTCTCCTCTCCTCTCCTCTCTCTCCTCCCTCTCTCTCCTCTCCTCTCTCTCTCCTCCTCTCCCTCCTGTCCTCTCCTCTCCTCTCCTCTCCTCCTCTCCTCTCCTCTCCTCTCCTCTCTCCTCTCCTGTCTGCAGGGTTTTGACAGAGCTCGTAAGCAAGATGAGAGACATGCAAATGGATAAGACGGAGCTGGGCTGCCTTCGAGCGATCATCCTCTTTAACCCAGGTACACTAAGGGGAGAATGTCACTAAGTGGACACATTTATGGCTGTAATATTGAAGGATTTTTAAATGTGCAAATGTATAACGTGTTATATTTCTTCTGTTTTGAGATATTTTAAATATTCTGTGTTGTCACCTTAAGATGCCAAGGGTTTGTCTAACTCCAGTGAGGTGGAGCTCCTGAGAGAGAGGGTGTACGCGTCTCTCGAGTCTTACTGCAAACAGAAATATCCAGATCAACAGGGCAGGTAGGCTATAACACAACACACATGCTGAGGTCTAAAAATGGATTTGGGAAGTCATTTCTCACTGTTCCTCTCATGCTTTTCTTTTTCATCCAGGTTTGCAAAGCTCCTCCTCCGGCTGCCGGCGCTGCGCTCCATAGGTCTGAAGTGCCTGGAGCACCTGTTCTTCTTTAAACTGATCGGTGACACACCCATTGACACCTTCCTGATGGAGATGCTTGAGGCCCCTCACCAGCTCACCTAGGGGGGGAACCAGGGGGGGAGCCAGGTCGGGTCTGATGGGGGACCCCATGCACACCAGGAAGGAACACCAACAGACCCCCTCACGTTGGCTCTTCTCATTGAGACTAACTTAACTGCAGCACCTGCTGGTTTTAAAGTACCGGCTGACACACACACACACACACACACACACACACACACACACACACACTCACACACATATTCTCCCTGTCACTGGCTAATTATCTTTACACACACACACACACACACATGCAGATTGTAGCTTGCAAACACAACTTAAAAACAAATAATATGGCTCTGAATGAACAGTATGCCAAAACACACACACACACTTTCATCCCCTTGTCCTGTGTTCTGTTCCACCACAGGGGTTTTGACTGATTGATACCGCCCCCCTTTTTATCCTACATATACAGTTACATGTCTTAATTTTGAGTGAGCTTTCAGTTTTCACCTCTTCATCTCACGGTGGGGGTTTTGACATCCCTCCCCTTGTTTTCACTCTGCTAGCTGCACCTTTGGATATTATCTTCATCAGTAGTCTTCATGTAGGGTTTTAGCTTCAAATCAGGTGCGTAGCATTTCAATCAAATGTGCTCATCAAAAAAAAGAAAGCTCACTTCTTTTAGGTGCAGGAGGTGTCCCATTACCTTCCCAGTGAGCTCATCCGGTCTCGTAAACAATGAACTATTTTATGCTTCTTTTTTTGAATATTCATGCTGAAACTTGTTTGAGTTTCTATTTTGAAGTACTGTACTCATGAAATGAGAGCTTTTTTTTTTTTTCCCAAGGCATTGAAATCCAGGAAAAAGGGGGGTGGGAGGGAGGGCGGGAGGGCGGGCTGTGTAGAACAGAGGAACCTTGTCCCTCCCACCCTGATGCGCACAGCGGGCTTTGTAAGACAAGAAGAATGACTTGAATTTTTTTGTTTCCTAGTTTTTAATTGTTATCCTTTCCTCTCCTCTGGCAGTAGGTTGGCATTTGAAACAGGCTTGAAGCTCACAGAAAGTACAGCTTCAGGAGAAACACCATGGTATTTGTTACTCTTTACCCCCCCCCCCCATTCCCTTTGCTGGTGGTCATTAATGCACTTTGTGAGTTGTAAACTGTGTAAATGTTCCTGTTTTCTAGAAATGACCATCAATGCTCAGACACCTAAGATGACCTTGAGGGCACTATGTGCAGGATTTTCTCAATATAGAAGAATAATTGGCTTCTTCCTCTGCAGGTTATGACACGGTTTAGTGAGGAGCAGTGACCTTTAGGGGCGAATGGTTGAAAAGGTCACTAAGAGGTCAGCTATGTTGGCTAAACCCAGAGCAACGTGTGCTCTCTTTAACACATCTCCTCTGTGTCAGCTGACCACGGCAGAGAGAAAAAGAATATCATATCTTTGTTTTCTGCCTCCTCTGTTGATCCGTCTGATTTAAGCGGCGTGCTGCAGCTTACTCAGATTTGAAGTCGGATCAAAACGATTAAGGATGGTTCCAGTTGGAGCATCTCTCTCTGTAAAACAAGGTGCAATAAGATGGATTTTTTGGCGCCACAGAAATGAAAGAATAGACTGAAATAATCTGACAGTGGCAATAATGCAAAGTGGTATTGGACTTATTTGAAGGTCGTAATGAAAGAAGTTTTATTTTGCATTTCTCTGCAGCTCCGTCTCACTGGTAGATCATTGGCTGTTGTACAGATAGATCGCACGGTGGACGAGGTGTTCAGTTACTAAGCATCTCTACGTGTCTGTTGTTGTAATGCAATAATGAAACAGTGTTATATAGTGGGAAATCCTACACCTGCTACCTGCAGCTTTGGAAACCTTATTCAGTGTGTGTTGGCTAAACGCTCGTCACTTTTGTACAGTAGATGTAAATAATGAAAAAAAAACCACAGGAGAAACAACGGCCTGTTCAGCCGGTTGTCAACGTGAAAAATTAAAAACTTAACCGATTTAAAAAGCTCTGTTTCATGCTGTCAAGTTAGCATTAGACTCCTGTGTGATGACATCAGCCCAGGGCCAAACCCTGCCTCCCTGCTGCTTCCTCACCGACTCCTGCCAATGTCTCATCTTGTACTTGGTAATTGATCGGCTGGATTTCATTGAAAATAGCAACTTGACGTTCACTGTGATTGAAATATATGACCGACTGAATCAGAGCATTGCAGTGACAGGTCGAAAGCAGCTACCACATCAGGTAGATAAACACAGAATACACCTGCTTGAAAGTGAGCCTTACTGGGTTAGGGTGAAAGACTTATGACTGAGGTTGTTTAAGAGAGTCGTCATCCTGAGGTCTATTTAGCGTTTTTTCTTAGTCACCACCTTCAATAGAATTAGGACCGACATTTTGAAATGTCATTCTACAGGGAAGAGGATCAGCTGTCCTCTACCAGGTGCTAAATAACTAATGAAGACGTGCACATGTTCATCAATGCACACTCAGTATGCAAGTTCTCAGATAAATCAGAAAGTTATTCTCTGCTCTCCCAACAGCTCTGCTTAGGTTTGATCCCCCCCCCCCTCTATGGAGATGAACACCAGCTACGTGCTTGCACATGTTGGCTGTGGCTGCTGAGTCTTTGCACTCTACCAGATGCAGCCGGTGTCTTTTATATTTTACACAGCAGTTGGAAGCGATGAAAGTTAAGCTGTTTGAGGTCCACCAGCTACCTTAACCAGAATGAGCAATGAGCTTCCTGCCCTGCAGACAGTCCAAATAAATCTCCTCAGAGAGGATCCTCGGCCTCCCCCCATGTGATGTGGACTTGGAGGCTGGCAGTTACACGACCTGTGAGACAGGCGGTTTGGTTTATCACGTCGACTAGTCGGTCTAACCTTTAGAGTTTGGTATGGTTTCAGTTTCTCTCCAGACATGCATTCAACCAAATCAACAAAGAAGTCTTCAGGAGTCTGGCCCTGGTTCACCACTGCTTCGTCATTTTGGTGTTACTTCTCAGACAAACACCGACATCTGTGAGCTTTCTTGTACTGTAAATGCTGAGTTATGGTTTCAGTGCTTTAGAGTCTGAGCTTTGAAAACGATGTTGTGGCCCGTCAGGCTTTGAGATCAGTGTTGGGCTGTTGAGTGATGTCTGTGAGGGCAGCTCTAAGAAATGAGTGTTCTCCTTTTGCCCTCAGAGAGCATGCTGTCTTAAGGACTTGTGCTTATTAAGTGAAGAGTCTCATCCTTTGATGGGTCGGCATCACAGCAGGTTTCTGTTTATGGAGCTTCCCTTTCTTTTGAATGTTTCAGCCTGCTGCTACTGCATCACGTTTAGAGCTTGGGATGGGAATCATTACACAATCTGTCAAGTGCTGGAGGATCCACTGGGTCATTGGTTCACAACTTTGGGTTCCAGATTTTGCACTTATAACTAAAATCATGACAACACACTCAGTGGATAGTTTGTACACCGGTTGCTTGGTGAGGACAAAGTGAGTGTGGTTCTGTTCTGTCAGGATACAATTCAACTATTTAAAATGATATGGATCATTATTTTCCTTGGGGGAGCCTCATCTTTTCTTAGACACAAGTAGGGGGGGGTGTCTCCATGGATAAGAGGTTGGGAACTTCTACCCTAGTCGACATAAAAGCACTTATCAAAAGGTTTAAATATGCAACGTGTATGCGGTATTCATGTTATGATTACATTGTTAAACAATTGTCATGCAATATGTGCATCGTGTTTCTGGTATTTGTAAGTTTTCTAGCCGCGTCGGGCTCAAAAGTTGGTATTAATTGGCGGTGAATTCCCATCCCTTTGTAAAACAAATGATCATTAATGTTTTGTAATGCCATTTCTGTAGGTCTTTACATTTTGCTATGAGCTTAGGTCATTTAGAGAAGATATACAGACACAGTATAAATAAAGGAAAGTACACAGTCAGTGCGGGCTCTGTATGCTAAACCACTTTGAGCGTTGCTGATCCTTTTTAGGCAACAGCTGGTGGCTACGTGTTTCTGTTTTTGAAGCATTTGTCATTGGGTATGTGTGGCACCCCATGTGCATGCTTTTTTTTGCACATGTGTGGAATCTGTCTGCAGCTTTTGACTGGCAGATGATACTATAGCTTTGCCTGTGATGTGCTGAGCGCTGTTAAATTGATTTGTTGAGCAAAAATGATGAAAGGATGCAGAGAGAAGAAGGAGCCAGGCTGGAGGGCTGAGTCACTGGTTTGTTGACCTGTTGCTTTATCGACACGACCCCCGCCTCCTCCCCTGCGTCACTCTGCTCTGTCTCCACTGCTTTACTTTAAACCCGTGTGGGCTGAAAAGTGACCGGGCTTTGCTTTTGGAAAGGACTTGCAAAAATAAAGCTATGATTCTTTGGACTGTTTGAAAAGGATGTGAAGCTTTTCATGGGACGAGCGGTGGAGAGCTGTGAGGAGGGGATTCAGTGCTGTGTGTCCCTCTTTGCTTACTTTACTTGACGGCAGAGACAGCGACGATCCGCGGGGGATCGCATCGCACTGCCCACAAATGTTTGTCGTTGCAACCGTGTGCACTCGAGGCAGACGCATGCTGTGACCTTTTGACTGTGTGGCAGTATTGTTGTCGCCATCTTTGTTACATTTTGGAATTACTCGCTTTTTTTTGAAGAAGGCATCGATTGAATATGCTTCCACAGGCTGTGACTGAAGAATTGATCATCCTGTAAAGATGAGATATCAGGGTGGCTTTTTTTAACCTTTTAACACAGGCCCCCCCACCCCCCCCACCCGGAGCCACGGCCCATCCCGTCATGGTCGACGAGGCAGTGTGTGCTATGCAGCCTTGAAACCACCAACTTTATTTATCACTGCCAAGATGTTTGCGGATGTGGCCGTTTTGAATACAGGGCCCCTTCGTACCCAGCGCTTGTTTTATTTTTTTCATGTATGTTGTGATTATTGTGCATCGCACGAGAGAGTGTGCACTGACCTTGGCCTTTGTAGTGCATACTGAAGAGGGGCCCTGATAGAAAATGGAGTGACAGCTCGTGTAGAGAGGGGAGGACTGGTCACAGGAGAGTGAAGGAGACCGGTGTGTGTGTGTGGTCCCCTCTTGGTGCTCAAGCTGTGCATTGGTGCTTTTCACAGGGTGCCCCGGCCTGAAACGTCTACTTTGGGGCAAATGCATATATGATAGCAAATGAGGAATGACTTAGCAGGGTTAGCCTAGCCTAGCTTAGCCCTGCACCTGCTCTTCTTCAGTTACCTTTAATTGTTTTTTTTTTAATCTGCGACTGGGTCAACTGCAAACTGTTTTCTGTTTACTGTGGTTCAAGCCAACAACTTAAAAACAAAACTTCAGAACCTTCTGGAGGATGAAAACTGAAGAAACTCACAGTGCAGTGGTCTCTACTATCCTCAGTTACAGGTTTGCAGGAGACACCTTAAAGCAGAGAGTGGACTTGAAGGTGTGGTTTCACTAAAGATGACTGCCCTCTTTAAGCAGGACGTCGTTTTGAACTTAAGGTCGGAGACTTTGTGAAGTGAAAGAGAGAAGAGCAGGGACTTAGAGAACTCGGATCAGGTCCATTTTTTTCCACGAGAATAAAAAAAAGAAAATATCTTACAGTAGATCTAGAATCTTCCTTAATTGTTTACTCTTCACATAAAAAGACACACACTGTTTCTTTGTCTCGTTTCCTGTCTCTCTCTCTCTCTCTCTCTCCTTCCATTATACTCTTCATCTTTTGTTTATACAAAGTATTAAACAAATACAAGAACTGTAAAATCAGAACAGAATCTGTCACTCTTTTTTAAATCTGTTGTTCTGTTGTGTCTGTTCTGTGTCCTGTTTGTATCATATTCCATCGTACACGTGGAGCTGATTGACTATCGTGTGCTTCTGGGATTGAAAGAAGAAAAAAAAATATATGAATAATTTTTTCAGTCATTAATTCTGAATCTTGTTTCTGTTTGTTGTATCATGTCCGAGTAAAGGTTTTAATACTGTAAGTGAAGTGTTTCTCATTTTATTACTCCAACAAAGTTCTAAAACTTGTCAGAAATCAGGTTTCAATGAGCTTTTTAGTTACAGTAACTCGTTCTAAATCCAGACTGTGGTTTCTAAAATGACCAGAGTGGACTCGTTTCCTTTAGGCTCCTCGTGAAACGCCCGCTCGCTGCCCCTGAAGCGGAGCGTCCCAACTCTGCTCCTCACCGTGACCTGCAGAGATGATGGTCCGCTCCTCAGTCCAGCAGGACCCAAGGGCCCCAGGTGACCATCTGTGCCGCACTACCATCTCTGAACCTCTAGAGGGAGCACTGACCTCTCCTCCTCACCCCAGCTTCCTCCTCCTGGTCTGCTGTAAACTCCTCCCTCCATCAGAGCAGGTGGGGGTGAAGTTGCCTTTTCTTGCCTCCTCTCCTTCTTTGTGCAACTTGGCCGAAAAGGAAGCAACAAAACTGAAATCACAACATTTTTTTTGGTACATTTCACGATGCACTGGTGGCTGTATTCGCTCTACCACATATTTAAATGTTTAAGGACAGGAATGTGAATATGGGTTTGCATCTGTGTGGCCATGTAGGCTATCTTTCCATCTGTGCAGAGCAGGACCCAGAGTTCATCTCTTCTCTCTTCACCCACAGTAGCTACGTTGAAAACGCTGCGCTCACCAAAACCAGAATGAGCAAAATCTAAAAACCACAAATCATTGCTATTTCAGGTTTGTTCACTCGTGTGTACATATTTTATTTTAAGCCGTACAGACCAGTTTTAGAAGTCATTAAAGTCTTTTACAGCAGATGTAAAGAATTCAGCTTTAGTTGCATAAAAAACATTTATGAAACTGTCGTCCACCTAGGCAACAGAACAAGTCTAAAACAGACCTTCCACTGATTCATCTGCATTAACCTATAAAGCCTTCAAACCACAGTGGGATATCCTGCGTCAAGTGTTGGCACAAACCGGGTGGTAAGACGGTAATTCACATAGACATTGCTTTGGTTCATGTATTATTTTGTGTGCCTCTTATGGTTGATGTGGTTGTCTTATTTATAGACCCCCCAGAGTGCTTTGGTTTCCTTGATTTTGTGTTTGACTCACTTATTTTCCACTGCTCTCGTGCAGATTGGTGTTAAACAGGTTGTAAAAACACACGTTTGCACAGCCCGACTCCAATAACTAACCTAACACTAATGAGACGGGAGGTTAAGCATCACTTTCCATGTTTCAGATATCTGAGCCAAGTGTGTCACTGCAGAAGCTGCCCCCTGTAGTACCAGGAGCTACCAGCAGAGGGAGTAAGCACAATGAGTGTTCTGTTCAGGAGCCTGAAGCGTGTTAGGGCCATGTCAGCAGCATCCCGTGTAGAGAGAGGAGCCCGTGTGGAACCTCGCAGCTTGTCGAGTTGTAGAAAGTAAGTTGATCGTTTTGATTCAGGGGAAAAGTTGCCAACATGATGAGTCAATGTGAGAAACTGTTAAATACAAATGTGATTAAATTATTCGTCTTAAAAATGGCCTTTTCTCTCTCAAGACTGTCAGCCTCAAATCACAAAATTCTAAGACATGGTGTGTAATCCACTCTGTTCCAATGACTGGAATAACACACTGGTAGGGGTGAAGTCTCACGCAGATGCAAACAATGATTTTCCAGTCGTTCTTACAGTTGAGTTGAAGGTTCATTGAAGTAAATTGATGCAGATATGAGAACAGCAACATAACGTTTCCAGTGAATACCTGTCTGAGTGCTGGTCTGAATAATGAATGCCGGTCTGGTGTGAACTGTATGTGCTCCCCCTACCTGCGCCTTCCCCTTCCTGTCACCTATGCCACTATACACACACACACACACACACACACACACACCCCTGTGTATTCAGTGTCCCTAGTGTTGAAAATAATACAGCAAGTTAAATCTATAATTATATGACATGCCAACAATGAACTCCTACATGGTGTTTAATGATTTTAAGTTGAACTAGAGTGTAAACCTGTATGTAGTGAAGGGACTCGCTGCCCCCTTCAAACTTTATTCTATACCGTGCATGTCAGAGCCATCTTCCATCCTTCATATCCCACATCCCCCTCCTCTTCTCAGGCTTTGTCGTCCCGTCTTGTGGCTTATTTCACTTTCTTCTTCTGTGTTTACTACCCTCCTCTTGTCTCATCCATCCTGTCTGTCAACCTTTCCATCTCTTTCTTGGTGTCTTTCCTGCCCTCCTCTCTCCCCAGTCTCCTCCTGGCTCTAACTCCTCCTCTCTCTCTCTCTCCCTCCTTCCCTCTTTCTCGCCCCCCCCTGCCCCCCTCCCCCTCCCCCCCTCCCCCTCCCTCCTCGAGCGCTGCAGAAAGACACCTTTGTAACTAGGGTCAAATTCCTCTTAATTTCTGCTTCACAAGTGTCAATTCTCACCACTTGAATGTTATTTCTGCAGACTGAATAAATGAGCCCTGTTTGAAGTTAGATACCCCCCCCACACACACACACACACACACACGCACACGCACACGCACACGCACACACACACACCTGAGGAGCACAGAGAGCTTTATTGAGTTTCTGACTCTAGACACAGGACAAGTGACAAACAGAAGGGTGAGATGTGAGGTGTGTTTGATGCACACTATTATTTCCAGCGCTCAGGTAGACCTACACAGGCAAATAAAAACTATAATCTCCACTTCAGGATTGTGTAATTATCTGACCTCGCAAAAGAACCCTTTTGGATTCTAACATTTGAACATTTTGTCCCAGTTGTTTAGTTCGTTGCATTTTTCAACCAAATAAATCATCTTGAGGGCCTCAGTCCATTAAAACTGTTGTTCTTTTTTTACATCGTCAGTGCCTATTTTCAAAACAATACCAGTTTTTCAGCGTTTGTCCTAAACCCAAAAGCATTCTGTGCATCAGTTGTTTGTTGTCGCTGTGCTCACAGCTCACATTGCGGACACACTGCACAAATTATAATCGCCCAGGAAGGTTTCTCTCAGCTCTGTGGTTTACTTGTTGTCCTGAATTTGAGGACTCTTTTCAATAAAAACTGCACTCCATAAAGTTTATATTCTAAACGTGTTCGGGTGATTTTGACATAATGAGGGAGTAAAGCACCACCTGCCTAGTCCTACTGCGAGGCATCCCAGCATGCTTTGTGAGCCGCTCGCAGTGCTGACCAGGCAGGCTGCGACACTTTTTTAACAGCTTTTCTCCCTCATTATGTCAAAATGATCCATACAGAGAAAACTGTGATTTAGTTTATTTTAAATGTGTTAAAATAAAAGTCAGACAGATATAAGTGAATAAAAATAAATCACATGTGCAGGCGAGGGAGGAAACCCACTGTGAGTTTATTTCAAAACCAGATAAACAGATATCTATTAAAAAAACCTAGACGGATTATGAGATATTGGGCCCCTGGCATGTGGACCCTTATAGTTGAGGGGCCCATGATGATGATGAACAGGCTCATATATATATATATATATATAGTATTTCTTGAAGGACTTTTTGGACCCTGCTATTGAAATGAACTACTGAGTCCTTTGACTATGCAACATTAAGAGTAAAAGGACTTCACACAGAAGCTCTGGCTTAGGGGCCCCCTGAGCCCTCGGGCCCCTGGGTCTGGGCTGGTAGGCCCGTGTGGTAAACTATAATATTACAAAGTAAAACATCAATTAGAGCAAAACAAAAACAAACTGTGTGTTAAAAGTGTAACAAACATGACTAAATCAGGACTGTTGACTGGTTAGTAAATAAACTCTATAGAAAGATTCAAGAGAACGCACTTAGAGACGCACTGCCCAGGAAACCATCACAAGGTTAATTTATGCAACAATAAATCACTGTTTATATTAAAATGCAGGATTTCTAACACGTGTGAGCTTTCCGCTGAGCATTCTGGGATAGCTAGCAGCGCGGACAAGGCAGGCGACGCCATTTGTCATTGTGCTTTTTTCCCCTCACAGTGTCAAATCATTTGAAGAAAACAGTTTTATTTTAATATTTAGTAAATGAACCATGTGAGATGCTGGTTTTCTTAATGACTCCTCAGTTCAACACTACTTGTTAGCAGCCATCTCAACACCTCACCGTCTCAGTTTGTTCAACTTTTTGAACACCAGGATCATCAGAGTCACCGCTCCTTAACTGACCAATCAAATTCAAGAAGGGGCAGGACTTTCGTATCAACTTTAAACCGGACTCATCTTTCCAAAGGTATAATCTCCAGGTGTAGAGCTAGTGCTGATACAACGATGCACTTTCTGTTGTCTTCACGTTTTCTTTGAGATGTGTCTGCAAATATAAGAAAATATTAAGCATGTGGAAAGTAGTTTTAAAAAGGACTTAACGTCACTACCAAGGGAAGTGAGAAGAGAAGAGCTCTGCAATTAAAAATCGCAGCCTCTGCCGTCGCTTAATAAAAGCTACAAATGGACTCAGGCCATTTGAGCATCATAAAACATGATGTTAAGAGTAAAGACCATTTGGAGGACATTTTTCTCTCTGGTATTTACTTAGACACTTTAAGTGAGAGAAACATTTATTGTGCTGATTAAAACGATCCACTGTTGGCAGCCTTATTGTCATAGAGATTAATTAAAGGCACTGACTCTGTGTTTACTTTAACGTCAGTTTAAAGTTTCACCTCAACTATGAGACACTGGATGGAAACAACACCATTTAGTGTCAAAATCTGGAGAAACTTTTTATTGAAGTTATACACACTGATGTCTCTTTCCGTTTATTTTATGACCCAAAAGTCGAAGCTCTCTGCCTCACTGTGCAGCTTGTTGTCTCTGTAACGTCCAGACCGTTGGGACGGAAAGAAACTTTGGAATGACTAGTGACAACATTTAGAAAAGCCAAATTACTGGTCAGCCACTGTCCCCATGTTCTTTCAGCTGTAATGACATGCTAGCTTTTAGGAACACACAGACCAAATGTGAGCCAGGGTACACTTAGATGACTGAGAGCGCCTCCTGAGCAGAGCTAAATCTGTCTGCCACTGAGA